AGTGGCTGCCACCTGCGTGAGGGACAAACTGCAACCGAAGTACGTGCCCTTAGCGGGAACCGAACCCGGGTCTCTCCAGACCGCAGGCCGACGCTCTAACCGCTGAGCCAAACTGGCCAGGACTGATTCAGTAGTTTTGGTCTGGGGCCTAGTTGAAGAAAACTCCTCCAAAGGGATCCACAGTCTTTTTTTTTTTTTTTGGTACATGCCCCTAGCACGAACCGAACCCGAGACTCTCTGGTCCACAGGCCAACGCTCCAACCGCTGAGCCAAACCGGCCAGGGCGGGATCCACAGTCTTTGAGAGACTCATGAACCCCCTCAAGTTGTCGGCAAAATTGCACATGGGCATGTGTGTGGGCATGTTGATGTGTTTACAGCAGGAAAAGCCATAGCTTTCATGAGCTCCATACCTCCTAAAAGTTTAAGCAGCTCTGCCTTGGAGATTAATAGCTCATGCCATGGCCAGTTTGGCTCAGAGGCTAGAACATTAGCCGGAGGACCAAAGGGTCACAGGTTCGATTCCCAGTCCTGGTTGGGGTCATGTGGGAGGCAACCAAATAATGTGTCTCTCTCGCATGGATGTTTCTCTCTCGCCCTCCCTAATTCCCTTCCACTTCAATGGAAAAATATCGCCCTGGCCGGTTTGGCTCAGCGGTTAGAGCGTCGGCCTGCGGTCCCGAGAGACCCAGGTTCAGTTCCCGCTAAGGGCATGTACCTCAGTTGCAGTTTGTCCCCGGCCCTGGTCGGTTGTGCGGGTGGCAACCACTCGATGTGTTCCTTTCACATCAATGTTTCTCTCTCTCTCTCTGTTCCTCTCTCTCCCTCCCACTCTACCTGAACAAAAAGTGGAAAAATGTCCTCGGGTGAGGATAAAAAAAAACAAAAAGAAAAATATCCTCAGGTGAGGATTAACAAAAAAAAAAAAATTACAGCTTGCCCTGGCCGGCTTAGCTCAGTGATTAGAGCGTCGGCTTGTGGTCCAGAGAGACCTGGGTTCAGTTCTCACTAAGGACATGTACTTCTATTGCAGTTTGTCCCTGGCCCTGACCCAACCAGGGCTGTGTGGGAGGCAGCCACTCGATGTGTCCCTTTCACGTTGATGTTTATCTCTCTCTCTCTCTCTCCGTCTCTTTCCCTCCCACTCTATCTAAACAAAAAATGGAAAAATGTTCTCGGGTGAGGGTAAAAAAAAAAAAATTACAGCTCATAACCAGGGACTCAGGACAGGGTTAAAAAAAAGATTGTGGCCCTGGCCAGTTTGGCTCAGCGGTTAGAGCGTCGGCCTGCGGTCCGGAGAGACCCGGGTTCGGTTCCCGCTAAGGGCACGTACTTCGGTTGCAGTTTGTCCCCGGCCCTGGTTGGTTGTGCGGGTGGCAGCCACTCGATGTGTCCCTTCACGTCGATGTTTCTCTCTCTCTCTCCCTCCCATTCTATCTGTACAAAAAATGGAAAAAAAATATCCTCGGGTGAGGATAAAAAAAAAAAAAAAAAAAGATTGTGAACCACTGACAATAATGTCCTTATCAGCATCTCTTGATTGGTCCTATAGCCATCATTAAGATAAGGGGAGATAATTTGGTAGGATCTGTAAAATGGGAAGGAGCAGGACTCTGGGAATTTACATAACCAGCCACCTTGTGCTTCCATAATCTTTATTGTGCAGTAGACTATCGGGAATGAAAGTAATGTAAAAGGCAAATTGCTGCTTTCCTAATACCTCCTCTGGTAAAGGCCAGGTTAGTTCTGAGATGATCCATGGGATTGGCTTGTTTCAGATGTCTACTGTGGCCCAAAGAGAAAGAGGTCTGATCCAACCTAAACAGAACTGACATTCATAATGATAGTCTAGAAAGGGAATTTTTTTAAAAAAACTTTTTTTTTTTTTTTTAAATCCTCACCCGAGAGCATTTTTTTCCATTTTTTGTTCAGATAGAGTGGGAGGGAGAGAGCGGAAGAGAGAGAGAGAGAGAAACATCGACATGAAAGGGACACATCGAGTGGCTGCCATTCGCATGACCAACCAGGGCCGGGGACAAACTGCAACCAACCCTCAGCGGGAACCGAACCCGGGTCTCTCCGGACTGCAGGCCGATGCTCTAACCGCTGAACTAAACCAGCCAGGGCTAAAAAAAACCTTTTTTTTTATCCTCACCCGAGGATATTTTTCCATTTTTGTACAGATAGAGTGGGAGAGAGAGAGAGAGAAACATCGACGTGAAGGGGCACATCGAGTGGCTGCCACCCGCACGACCAACCAGGGCTGGGGACAAACTGCAACCGAAGTATGTGCCCTTAGCGGGAACCGAACCCGGGTCTGTCCGGACCGCAGGCCGACGCTCTAACCGCTGAGCCAAACTGGCCAGGGCTAAAAAAACCTTTTTAACCAGAGGTAAAACTAGGACCCTAGAGACCTATCAGCCCAGATCTGCTTTTTAACTTTGGGCTGTGAAAAGTGGAAGTCATATAAGCAAGCACAGTGGGCCAAAGTTTCCTCCTCTGAAAATGAGGGGGTTGAACTGAATACACCCTAAGGGGCCTTGCAGCAATTGTCCCACAGGATTCCTCTACTATGACAGAAGATCCCTCTCACCTGTAGTAGAAATGCACAGGGCTGAGGTGGCTGACTGTCGGCATGTAGGAATAGTAGAAGGAGCCATAGAGGAAGATAGACACCCAGAGCAGGAGGAGGATGGTACAGAAGAGCACCCCAAACTGTAGCAGCAGCTTGCGGGCACGGCCTGCCAAGACATGGCCCACCTCCTGGGCCCACAGCAAGGCAGGTACTGGTGGGTCATTGACCATGGCAGGGGATGCAGCGTGTCTGGCCCCAGGTTCAGGCTTTAAGTTCCTAGCTGTTCTGCCACCCGGATGCCAACCCTGGACATGGGAGGAAGCAGCTGGTGGTTCCTGGAAAAAAGACAGAGAGGAAGAGAATAGCTTCTTTCCGGAGAAGGTGAGGACAAAAGGAACAAGGTTACTGGGTTGGCTTTGAAGAACCAGAGATAGCAGGACACAGCATAGTCTTTGTTTCATATGGCCTTCCTCCAAATGACTGTTTCTCAGCCAATTATCCCTTCCCTTTTCTCTACTGCGCTCGCTCTGTTCACCCCCAGTGCCAGAGCTCCTCGGCTGCACTGGTCCGCAGGCCACTTGATTCTGGGACAAACCGTCTTAATACTCATTCATAGCAATACGTAACATACAGAGGAGGAGTGCCTTAAAATTCTTAAGGTGCTTTTACATACACGATGACACTGAATCCACACTGCGAGGTGACTGCACGCAGAGAATGCGCGATGTGCCTAAAGTCACAGCCAGATTCAAAGCGCAGTCACAATTGCCTTCCGAGTTTCTCCCCTGGAGCTGTGCTCGCTCCCTGACAAGCGCGCGCCCCGCACGCCGGGCGGGGCGTCCTGCAGACTATGGCCGCTCCCCGCCAGCCCCCTCCGGCTCGAAGGTGGACGCGGCGCCCAGAGCCCCTACTTTAACAAGGCCACAGATGAAAACAACTCGCCCGTCGCCAGAGCTCTGCAGACTCACCAGCATCAAACGCTGCCTGGGCAACAGAGAGAGAGACTTCCGCCTCCCGGGCACGCCCCGCCCTCTTCCGCCAATCGCCAATGTAGCTCGGGGGCGGGGCCTCGCCCAGGGAAGAGGCCCAATAGGGGCAGAGCTAGACGCGGAGGCGGGGCTGCCAGGACTGCGGGGTTCCCACCCACGCGTGCTCCGCAGTACCCCCGCGCCGGCGGTCCACCACCCTCCGGTTACCATGACTAAAGGGGCAGGCATCTCCCTCCAGGCCCCAAGATTTCCCAGGGGCATGTTCGAGTCAGCAGCATCCCCCTCGGCCTACCCCTCGAGGCCGCAATCACAGCCCTCCGCCCACATCTTCTCCCCAGCCATTTAACGCACCCAAAGCGGGAGAGAGGCGGGCACCCAGCTGGCGCTTTTATTGCCCAGCTCTTTGGGCCGGTAGGCACCCAAGGCAGAGAGCATTTGCCCAGAGAACAATACAGTCTGCAGGAACCTGTGCGTCTTGCTCGTCGCGCCAGTGCTCTGGCTGTCCCGAATTCACAAGAGTGGTAGCATTTCAGCCCCGTGTTTTGCCTCCAGCTTAGATGCGTGATCGACCTCCTCTGACCCTAACAAGATTCTCCCTGAGAGTCCCCACAGCGCATCATCTAGACTAGGCCTTGGAAAGCGGCACCTTCTACTTTGTATGTCTATTCACCCCAAATAAGAGCTCTCAAGAGGGTAAGGTCAGTGTTGTGGGCATCTTTGCATCCCCCACAGCACCAAGCACAACGATGAGAGGTAATCTCTCAGAACAATTCTTCCCAACCCTACCCAAAAAGCCCATGTATTTCCAGAAACATCCACGGACTCTCTCCACAATGCCCCCTACCTCTTCTTTGTCCGACTCTTTGATCTGGTCTCTGCACACCTCTTTCCCCCTAGATTCTTCTCTTTGGTCTGCCATTTCTTTAGACATTTTCCTGACGTTGCTCGCTGCCCGTGGATCTTGAGCTCGAGTCACTTGTGGCTAGAACATGAAGTGGAGATCTAGAAGCTGATACCTGTAGCTCATCACATTTTTCTGGATATGGGGAATGGAGGGTCCCTGGGAGAGAAACGAAGATTCACGTGATAAATGCTGTGTCAGAGTAGAGGGAGGAGGGGATGATGGGGGCGACTGCCCAGCTGATGTCAGATTTTCAAATGAGCAGGGTCTCCCGCAGCCAGTACAGACGCCACTGCAGGGGCTGTCATAGGTCCAGACCACCCCTTTTGAGGGGGGAGTCGGCCTGTGCTTCAGCTCCTTTGGGGAGGGCTGTAGGCCCGACTCAGGATGCCTACAATGGGGGAGGGGCAGGTATTGAGACAGTAACAGTGGGCGTGTGCACAGGGGCCGCAAGCAGCAGCCAGGCTCCCCCACTGGCCAGGCAGTTGGTATGCTCCAGGATCTGAACAGCTCCTTCTAGCATCCTTCATCCTGCAGGTACCAGCTGTCTGGGCAGTGCTTGAGCTGCAGAAACTGGGACCAGCCCTGGAAAGACCACTGACCTGACCCACCCCAGTGGCCTTCTCTGTATTAGCAGCTTCTGCTGCTGCGTCAGACACTTTCAGCTGCAACTCCCTGCAAGGTGGGGCACCCACCTCAGGCAGAAGGTTTTGGTGCACCCCACTGACCCTACTCCCCAGAGCTGCGGCTGCCTGTGGCCTCAGGTGAGTCAGGAGAATTTTGCTTTTCCCCATTGGGGCTCAAGGGGGCAGGTGGGGATTATGCACCCTCTCCATCAGGGTCGGGCTCCTTCTGGTTGAGGCTTTCAGAGCTGGGAACACATGGCTTGATGGGCTAAAAAGCCTGAAATCATTTGTGTTTTTTTTAAAGGTTTTTTTTTCTTTATTTATTTTAGAGAGAGGAAAGGAGAGGGAGAGACAGAAACATCAATGAGAGAGAACATCGATTGGCCGCTTCCTGCACGCCCCACACTGGAGATTTGGCCCACAACCTGGGCATGTGCCCTGACCGGGAATCCAACTAGTGACCTCTTGGTGCACGGGTCAATGCTCAACCACTGAGCCACACCAATGGGGCCATTTATATGTTTAATGCTCAGTGGCCCAGGTCATGTGGGAGCTTAGGGAGCATCTCATCCCATCCTCTTCATTTTCTCAGTAGAGAAAGGATGGGAAAGGCCATTGGAGGATGGGGATAAAGGGAGAACAAACTATTAGGGAACATGACCATAGCTTTATAAACGCTGGATGAGTGAGCATGGAGGGGGGCCTTCAGTTGAGATTGCTCTTAACTGTCCCTCTCTTTTTTCTTTCTTTGTCCCTCTCTTTTCTCCAGGATGAAAGGGGAGACCCCTGTGAACAGCACTATGAGTATTGGGCAAGCTCGCAAGATGGTGGAACAGCTTAAGATTGAGGCCAGCTTGTGCCGGATAAAGGTGGGTGAGATCCTGGATCCCATTAGTTGGCCTGGCTGTGCTGTAGGTTCCCAAACCTCAGGATAAGAGATGCTTTCCCACCCCCCTTGACTTCCTGAGATCAGGGGAGGATTCTATGGCTCTCTTAAGAGGTGTCCCCAGGGTTGGGGGTGGAGGAATGAGAAGACTGTCTTAAGGAGCTTTAGAGATGGTAAAAGATAACTCATTTGGGAATGGAGGCTTCAGTCCCTTTCAGGGATTCCAGCTGGCTAACAAGTCCCTCCTGATTGTGCCCCAGGTGTCCAAGGCAGCAGCAGATCTGATGTCTTACTGTGATGCCCATGCCTGTGAGGATCCCCTCATCACCCCCGTGCCCACTTCGGAGAACCCCTTTCGGGAGAAAAAATTCTTCTGTGCCCTCCTCTGAGCTGCCCGGTCCCTCACATCGTCTCACCTTCCCTAAGCCCTTTCTTAGGTCCGTTAACTGTTGTCAGCCCCTGAGGGTCCCTTGCATCCTCTTCCTGGCTCTTGCCCAAACCTGTGAGGTTATCTGAAGCACAAGGCCCTCCCTCACCTATCTGTCGACCCCGTTTCCACGCCCACCGGGGCACCCTTTGCCCCACCCACAGAAGGGCCATCGGACTCTGCCAGCGTCCTGCCCACTTCCCTCAGTGACCCGCTCAGACAATGGAGAGAGGGATGAGCCGGATGCTTGCTCCCCGTCTCACCTGGAGCTATTGGAAGGGTAAAGCCATTTGAAGAATAAAGTCATCCAGAGTCTCAGAGGTACAGCTCCTGTGTTAGCGTTCTTGGGGGAGAGGATCATCAGTCATTAGATGGTAGGTGCGGCCGTCGAAAGGCTTGCTACACCCAGGGAACAGGGGCCAGTCAGAGCCGATTAGACACTGTCTAGGATCGGAGATCGGTGGGGCTGGGAAGGATGGCAGGCGCGAGAGCGCGTCTCAGGTGGAAGAATTAAGTTACAACAGACACACAGAACACACACACACACACGGACACGAGGGCAATGAACAATGAAGGTAAGTGAAACTGAAAACAGACCGAACCGGGTGGGTTTAGGGAGGGATTCGGGGCTGGCGGCCGCAGACGGGAGGAACCCAGTGACCGAAGGGACGACGAGCTCGGCTCAGTTCCTGCGAAGGGGCCGGCCTTACTTCTAAGATGGCCGCGCCTACAGCGGGCCCTCTTCCAAGATGGCCGCCGCCACGGGGCCCGCGCCAAGATGGCCGCCGCCAGGGGCCCGCGCCAAGATGGCGCCCTGCGTCACTGCGTTTCCCGGTACAGCGCGGCTCCGCCAGCCCCATTCTTAAAATGGCGGCCCCGGCAGCTAGAGTTCTCAATATGGTCCCTTCCGTGCCGCCTGGCCTCAAAATGGCCGCCTCTTCCTGCACCAACTGGATATCCACTCCGACTCACTCCGTAGTCTGCGGGCCGACGCCCACCACGATCCAGGTTGATGCACACGGGAGGCGACAGCCTAGACCCATAGGACAAGGGGACCCCAGCAAGCACTGCGCATAGCAGTCCAGGTCTCTACAGCTTGCCGAAGAGGTACCCTTGGAGCGGAAACAGAAGAGTGTCGTCACTGTCTGGCGCCGTTCGTCCGTCACCTCTTGGTCTCCCTAGGCGTTGGATAAGCCCGAAGTTTGGGTTTTCCTGGGACGACAGGTGCTTGTTGTGCTCCTTTCTCCCCAGGCCCATTCTGTCACATCCGCCAGAAGCAATGTCCCCACCCGCAATGTGCCAGCAGCCCCATGGGAATGGTACAGCATCCTGCCTTCCAGGGGCCAGACCTAAGAATGTCTCACAAGTGCCTCCGGACTCGAACCAGCCAGGTTTATAAGCCCCAGAACACCTTTCTAGAAACCTTTCCCTTTCAAGGGTTAAGATACTGAGGTGGGATGAGGGCCAAAGCAGAGGTCAACAGCCCCAGGATATCTGCTCCCCATGGACTGTCACGATTCCCTCACATTCAGGGATACATTCTCCCCAGGGGACGCCTAGGCCAGTTCATGTTTTGTGCCTGGAAACTTTGGAGTGGGTGGACAAGAGGATGCCTCTAGCAATAGCAGGGAGATCTCTTATGGGTAGCCCAGCACCCCCAGATTCCTCACAAGTTCACACCGGAAGACAAGGGAAGAGGAATATACAGGAAACTGGGTTGCCCTCCTGAAGTGGGGACCTACCCCTATTCTGTTCAGGAGCTGCGTTAGTTCCCCTTTGGTGGCTGCCTGAAAACCCCTGCATCCTGACAGTGCCTGGCCCATGGCTGGCTCTCAAATACCTAATGAATGGATTGTGCTATGCATGCTTAAATGGCAAGGAGACACTAAGAACCTTTCTTTTCTCCTACTGCATCCCAGTGTTTGGCCAATTCCAGGAGAGTAAGTGAAAATTTCCACATCAGCTCAGACTTGGTAAAAAGCTGGAAGTGCTAAAATAACATAATCTTGAGCCCTGGCCAGTTTGGCTCAGCAGTTCGAGCGCTGGCCCACGGACGAAGAGTTGCGGGTTCAATTCCAGCCAAAGGCACATACCTCAGTGGTGGCTCATCCTGGCCCTGGTTGGGGTTGTGCCAGAGGCAACCAGTCGATGTGTCTCTCTCAAACATCAATGATATCCCCCCCACCCCACTCTTTCTGAAGATAAATGGAAAAATATCCTTGGGTGAGAATTAAAAAAAAAAAAGGGAGCCCTGGCAGATTTTGCTCAGTGGTTAGAGCATTGGCCTGCATTCAGTGCCCCCTAAGGGTATGTACCTCATTTGCAGTTTGTCCCCGCCCCGGTTGGGGTCGTGTGGGTGGCAGCCACTTGACGTGTCTCTCACGTTGATGTTTCTCTCTTCCTCCCTCTCTCTCCTTCCTGCTCTATCTGAAGATAACTGCAAAAGTGTCCTCGGTTGAGGATGAAAAAAAAAAGTAATCTTGATACTTTTAAAAAAATGCTCACCCGAGGATATTTTTCTTTCTTTTTTTTGGTACATGCCCCTAGCGGGAACTGAACCCAGGACTCTCTGGTCCACAGGCCGACACTCCAACCGCTGAGCCAAACTGGCCAGGGCAGGATATTTTTCCATTTATCTTCAGATAGAGTTGGAGGGAGGGAGGGGGGAGAAAGACCTGTGTAAGAGACACATTGACTGGTTGCCTCCTGCACAACCCAGGCCAGGCAGCAAGCTAAAATGGAGGTGTGTGCCCTTGACCAGAATCAAACCCAAGACTCTAAGGTCCTAGAGCCAATGCTCTAACCACTGGGCAAAACTGGCCAGGGCGGTACTTTTTTTTTTAATAGCCTTTGCTCAATTTTTCTGCATACTCAATTTTCATACTCATGATTAGGAGTAAATGGCTGCAGCCCTACTTAGGCAAAAAGGGGCTTAAGAGATAAGGTGTGAGCTATAAATAACTATTAAAAATGGTTAGCCTGGCCGTTGTGGCTCAATGGTTGAGCATTGACCCATGCTGGTTTGATTCCCAGTCAGGGAACATGCCCAGGTTTCGGGCCTGATCCCCAGTGGGGAGCATGCAGAAGGTGGCCAATCGATGTTCCTCTCTGACATTGATGTCTGTCTCTCCCTTCTTTAAAAAAAAATCAATAAAAACATATTAAGCCCTGGCCAGTTTGGCTCAGCGGTTAGAGCTCTGGCCTGCGGTCCAGAGAGGCCAGGGTTTGGTTCCTGCTAAGGGCATGTACCTCGGTTGAGGTTTGTCCCCGGCCCTGGTTGAGTCGTGTAGGTGGCGGCCACTCGATATGTCCCTTTTGCGTTGATGTTTTTCTCTCTCTCTCTCTCTCCCCCTCCCTCTCCCTCCCACTCTATCTGAACAAAAATAATGGAAAAATGTCCTCGGGTGAGGATGAAAAAAAAAAACATATTAAAAAAAACTGCAATTAGGATCAGTTCAGTGCTAGCTGCAATAGTGCTTTTGTTAATTAGTTACCTTCTCATTTTCCAGATTCACTAGGAAACAACTCCCATCAAACATCCTCTGTTCAGTGATTAGGCCTTTCCTTGTTAAGTGGCAATTACTCATGAATAAACTTACTAGGTTCCTAAATGGAACTTTACATTTAACTTCAAGCATCCAACTGGTTTTAGTATAGGCCAAATACACAGAGGTCATGACATAATTTATTTTCTTCTATTTCAATGGCTTAAACTTTTAGCATAAGCAAGCACTGAGTAGGCTAACCCACCGAGTGAAGGCATGGCTGGCACCCAAGTGAAGTCATGATAAAGTAGGATGGGAATAACAGCCATGCAAGAAGAGGAAAGCCATCTTTGGTTGGACCCAGTGCAACCTGAAGCAGCATCAAAAGTAAATAAATAAAATCCCCCAGATGACACACTCCACCCGTCAGTGCAGCCACAGGAGAGAGAGTGAATTCAATCCAAATGGTTATTTATTCTAAAACTGGAAGCTACTGTGCCTACATATTCGCCAGAATGTTGTAATGAGAACAGGGGAGGAGAAAGTTACAGATGTAAACAATGACACAGTTACATTTTTTAAAAAATGGTAAAACCCTTTTTTACTGGCCACTTCCAAGAATGCTTTACAGGTTGTGCAAAAACATTTACAGGCTCCATGTGATGTTTGTTTTTCTCACAAGCTTTTCCGTCTACAACAACCACAACAGACGTCTGATAAAACACTAAACAAGTCTTCTAAGGAAAACAAGGCTAGGGATCCCTTCTGTTAATCCACATTTGTCCCCTTAACATTGTTTGGTTTTTTGTTTGTTTTAATAATAAAAAGACAGGAAAAAACAAACCCAGACATCTACTGTTGTTGCGAGTGATCTCTTGGACTACACCAACAAGGACGTGGCAGTTTCACTTTCCACCCACCTAGAAAAACAGCCTTTTCTTTTTCTTTTTTAAGGTGACTTTCTAGTGTCCAAATTTAACAGCAAGTACTTCCCTTAATCCTCCCTCCCCACAAGAAACCCAAAGGGGCATAAGGTTTGTCCCCCTGGCCTTAAGGGCCTCGCATCCTCAAACCATGTCATAGAGTACAAAAGGATACTATTCGCTGGAGGACTAAACATTTGAAAGGGGGTGGCCGTTTCTGCCTCAAATTCAATTTCCCATTATAACATGATCTTGCCCTAAGAGAATTTCTCTGGGCTCCAGTTTTTACCTCCTTGCCCTGATACTATGAGCAAAGCTTCTCAAAAACTCCCTTAATAATAAAAAGTTAGTGGGTTACAGAAAAGTTCATGCAATCACTTTACCCACTGCCACACAAAATCCACTTGATGGCACCACGAAAAAGCAGGCGCCTAGAGAAGACATCATTATGAGCAAGCAAATGTATTTCCTACCAGCCCCTCCACTGCAGCCTCGGGGTCGGAGGTATTTGTGGGGCAGAAGGGTGTGTCACAGACAGGGCAACTAGAGGGCCA